CCATAGCGTCGTCAAATCTTCATGGAATTTCATGATTCAACTTGCTGCTGATACGCGACAGCAATGCGCTTTAGATCCAATTTACAGATCTTCGTTTGACGCAGTGACCAGATCGGCATCAATATTTGAAGCCGTCTGACGGAAATCCAACTGTGCTCTCTATCTCTCATTTTAGGCTCATCTGAGTTGCCAATGAACATTCCATAAGCCTAGCATGAGAGATCCTTCCCCTTATCCTAGCGGATTTTGAGTCATGTGATATCTTCAACATGGACAAAACCGGATTTCTTTCGGACCAGCAACCTCGACCCTTGTATAGGATTGAACTTATTGGTGGCAAAGCTGACAAAGAACGATTCACCCGCAGACTTCGTGTCAATGCGGATGGATACGAGTTTTTGCCTCCCATTGTCATCGAGAAGCATTTGCGCCCACGGTCCTTTCAATCGGACTTCCATGTGCAAGATTACGTGTGGTATCTTGTGAACCCCCGAGCTTGGATGACATCGGAGGTAGGTGGTGGCTTCTGTGCTTTCGGGTTGTTGCTTGATCATTTCGTCATCGTTTCACGTGGTCTGTAACATTGTGGTTCGTTTGCTTGCCAGCGTGTGGTCCACACATGAAGGTTCACGTCTCCGAATGGCAAGTACCTGTCACTCCACTCATGCATGGCAGGTTTTTTCACTGTGGCGGGACTGTTTTAACAGCAGGATGCAGCGGCAACACTGACGGGCTATGCACCTTGTTGACAACGTTAGAGCACATAAAGTCATACACTCGATTGAGGACATCATGGAGCGTGATTTCAGAGGAATCAAGATCGTTGACATCCCCTACATTCGTGTTCTCTACCTCCCACCCAACTGCACGTCTTACGTTGAGCTGCTAGAACAGGAGGTTATCTCGACGCTCAAACTGAAGTTCCAAATGCTCTTGATGGATTGGCTCATCAAAGAGTTCGATATGCCCGAGGTGGGGATGGAGGGGGGTAATGAAGACACCAGCAACCAGGACTTGGAGGGGATGGGAAATGCGGTTATGGGGGGTGAGATTGTACCTTCGTCAGGTTCGGCGGTCTGCTCATCAATTGTAAGAGGGAGGGGGCGAAGGGCTTCAGCTGGACAGAGGGGGGGGGGGGAGGATGGCGATGCTGCATCACTTGGAGTCGGTGGTGGGTTGGGTACCTTGTGGAGGATTGGGGAATGGAGGACCCTGCCGAGAGGAAGAAGTCAATATGGCCTGATTTACACATGGTTATCCTTTGGGTGAGCGGCTGTTGATGCTGATGGATCCGCTCATTGTAAGACGGTGCTGGAGGCATGCTAGGATAGTCCATGTAGCATGGCTTGTGGCTTGGGGGGCTGACCGTATGTTTGAGGGTCATCCTTGTGATCCTCTGGCGGAGGACGCTACAGTACATCGTTGACGAGTCTTATTGGCCGGTTGAGGCTAGATGGGCCAGCCATGACTGCGCGTGAGTTCGTCACACTCGATGATGCATTTCCCATGTACTCTGTGGGGCAACCTATGTCTTGTGCCGATGGTTTCTGGCGTTTTGAGAAATTAACGCAAACCAGCCAGTTGGCGCTAATTTATCGACCCCCCACAAGCTATAGGATACAGTAGCTGAATAGTGGAGTGTGAACTTGGCAAGGCATACGACGGTATTTGGCTCTTAGTCAAAATGCGCCCGATGCAACATAGAGGCTGTGTGAGCGTGCCAACCGGGCCTTAGCCAGAATTAGCAGCCGAGACGGATTGAGCATGGCAGATTGAGCAATACGTGGTTGCGGATGGCTATGCACTTTGACCATGTCATCGCCCATAATTTGTGCTGGCAGGTGGCGCTCTGCTTCATCGGATAGTGCATCCACGATAAAGACAATCTTTGTAGCGATAGGCTGAATCAATTGTTGCATTTGGGTGACGTGGATCGGAGCACAGATTTAAGAGAGGCGTGGTAGATGGGCCGGTGTAATAATTCAGAATGAATGGCCCAAACAGATGCGGTTCCTGGCGCCGAGGTTCGAAGGGACTGGGCTCCACGTGACGAGGTTCGTAGGGGCCAGCAATTGCATTGGGAATAGTGGGCTATGGTAGTGTAGGTGGGGCACTGGCAGGGGGATTATATTCTTCGGCAGCATCCACCTTGTCATGTGGGGTGGCAAAGCTCCGTTCCCTACTGTAGCATCTTCGTGCGCTGGCGTCAGCTTCCCTGCCGCATTCGAAGTCGTCAAGGAAGGGTTTCCCGTAGAAGATGCACTCACGAGAATAAAAAACTTAATATATGGCATAGTTACATAATTATCCAGGTGTATGAATCCTTTGGTATGCCCAGATGAATTCCCCATTTTGCCCTTTCGACAAATCGCCCTGCGTTGCACTTGGTGGCCTGCATTGAACCAGGTAGCACCAAACCCGAAGTAGTTGAATGTTGGCGGATTTTCTGGTCCAAATCAGATGCGGTGAATAGGAATGTGGGAGAGCTATGGATGTCAACTAGCTGTGCAGGATGACAACTTGCGCTATCGCGTAGAGCCAAAAGTCTGATGGCAGTCGAGCTTGGCCAAGGGGGACTCTCATATTCATCTGCAGCATTCTGTTCATCCGCTCCGCCGTTCCGTTCTACCGGTGAGCATAAGGTCTTCTCTTGCGCTTCTAAGCTTCGCCCCAGGTACTCTTTGAAGGTGTTACTCTCGTACTCCCGAGTGTTATCCATCTGAAGCTCCTTCAGCTTCAGACTACTCTACCACTCAACCATCCTAACCCTAAGCTTGAACGTCAAATGCTTTGCTCTTGTGAGCAACGTTTTTATGTCAAATGTAGCAAGTAGATCCATGGATGAAGGCTATGATATAGCATTCATCTACGCCGCTAATATCGTGGAAAGATTGAAAGGTTGTTGTTGAAGGCGAAACCTAGCTTCTCGTACTGCTACGTGTGGGGAAGTTGGAGGGAAACAGACTGTGGGGGAGCCTGGTGATGGGGCAGACGGTGGTCAAAGCTCTTGCGTGTTGGGCAGGAGTAATGCGCTTTGTCGAAAATGATTCCTTTTATCGAGTTGTTTAATGCTTCGACGGACGGGTGGCTGAGTCGCTGATGCCATATTTCTGTTGGTGCATTGTGTCTCTTTGAGCGCATGTACAGGCCCGAATTGACGAAGGCAGGCATGGTGTGGATCCAAGAACGGGATTGGCAATGCTGGCAGCTAAAACGGACGAGGTGAAGCCAGCCTCTTTGACAGTTTTGACTAAAGGAAATCCGTCGATGCAACGATGACCAGCAACACCGTGGACGATACAGCGAGTCGCTCCCTAGTCGGATTTCCGTCAAACAGCTTCAAATATTGATACGGATTTGATAAGTGCCTCACATGGTGATTTGTAAATTGGATCTTAAGTGCATTGCTCTCACCTAACGGCGCATTGATCAAGTTGAATCATGAAATTCCATGACGATTTGACGACGGTTTGACTGGCAGGAGGTATAGCAGCCACCATAGTCTTAGACATACAAACTTAGCAAGAAGAATCAAAATTGAGATGGTTCCCAGCCTCTACAAGCCCCAAGAGCCGAGTTTTAGGTTGGTGGTACACCACCACAGAGTCTCCAACCACGAAGAGACTCAAAACAAACCCAACAAGGGGCTACACCAAGTGAAATGTAACACTACACGCAGTAGCATTACTATTTTCACTATTTTAATATTTATCCACGTCCCTTGGGCTTGAAATCTTGAGCTCTTGGTCTTGGTTCTGCAAGATAAATTCTTCTTGAGTTGATGAGGGCTTGCTGCACACATCTGCGATGCGATGGAAGCTTCACACTCGACAAAAATAGAAAGATACATGCGACGCGCAAACGACGACTTGACATGCGAGTTGTGTAAACTCGCTAATGTCTTGACCGACACAAACCACATTGTGATACACCATTCAATCACACACACAAGCACTAGATAGCAATGCCATACACTCACAAGTCATTCCATGCCATGCATGCACACACACGAACAAGGACGACGAGCCGAGTGCAAGCCATAGGGTTGCACCAACACTGACGATCGGCAAGAGCGGAGGCTCAGGTGAGCATTCTTTCTCCCTGCTTGTATCTGCGTGTCTTGCCCAATATCTAACGCCGGAAGTCCAATGAGCCCCGACCATATAGTTGACGACGGGCCTTGCCTTATGTGCAAGTCTGGATGGAGTCGATGCAGAGGCAACAACTGGTGGTGAAATCGTTCACCGTGGCGCTTGGACTTTGACTTCAGCGCATCTCAAGTTGACCTCTGCACCACAACGATCCTTCAGCTTCTGACATTGGTCAATGAAATGCCCCAGTTTCTTGCACAACTTGTAGAAGGGTTACAATTTGCGTTTTTCCCCTTGTCTGGTTCCATCATTTCGCTATCCAATGTAGAAGCTGCACTTCTGCCTTTGTCTTGTTGCGTGTGCTGTACAGGTCCATATCTTGCTGCTCAGTAGTGAGTGCTGCATGAAGAGTGCTCTTGGTTATGATCCATTGTGTGCACAAAAAGGCATTGAATATGCGCCCGTAGGAGCTGAGTCTGGCAAGGTGCATGGTGATAAAGAGCACGCTGTTGAGGCTCCCACTGCTCTTGAGGAACTGGTCGTGCAAGTTGCAGCAGCGGTTGATGTATAGTAGCTTCCAGGTTTCTTGCCTGGGAGCATTAGAATCGAGTTTAGTTGTTGAAGTAACTAGCTTTGCATCACACTATCTTGAGCAAGGTGTACCTTGTAGAGGCTTTCCTAGGGTATAGTGCAGGGGAGCAAGTAAGGTCTTGAAAGGACGCACACCGTATTGCTCGGAAGGTGAGAGATTCCATGCCAGCAGTGTGTACGCCATTAGCGAGAGCCAGTAATAATGCCCTTCGTCTATATCCATCCTTGTTTCACAGTACTTGACAGAGCCATCGAAGTAGTCTCAAATGCATGAAGACTGCGCTAGGAGCTCGAGCTCAAAGCAACACATCAAGAAGTCCTTGCCATCGAAGGCGCTCGAGATTTATAGCTTCGAGATTATGAGAAAGTTGGCTTGGTTGATGATTACATTAGCGTACACTAACGGGTTATGGCTGCTGCTGCTGCTGCTGTTGCTGTTGTTGCTGTTGTTGCTGTTGTTGCTGTTGTTGCTGTTGTTGCTGTTGTTGCTGTTGTTGCTGTTGTTGCTGTTGTTGCTGTTGTTGCTGTTGTTGCTGTTGTTGCTGTTGTTGCTGTTGTTGCTGTTGTTGCTGTTGTTGCTGTTGTTGCTGTTGTTGCTGTTGTTGCTGTTGTTGCTGTTGTTGCTGTTGTTGCTGTTGTTGCTGTTGTTTCTGTTGTTGCTGTTGTTGCTGTTGTTGCTGTTGTTGCTGTTGTTGCTGTTGTTGCTGTTGTTGCTGTTGTTGCTGTTGTTGCTGTTGTTGCTGTTGTTGCTGTTGTTGCTGTTGTTGCTGTTGTTGCTGTTGTTGCTGTTGTTGCTGTTGTTGCTGTTGTTGCTGTTGTTGCTGTTGTTGCTGTTGTTGCTGTTGTTGCTGTTGTTGCTGTTGTTGCTGTTGTTGCTGTTGTTGCTGTTGTTGCTGTTGTTGCTGTTGTTGCTGTTGTTGCTGTTGTTGCTGTTGTTGCTGTTGTTGCTGTTGTTGCTGTTGTTGCTGTTGTTGTTGTTGTTGTTGTTGTTGTTGTTGTTGTTGTTGTTGTTGTTGTTGTTGTTGTTGTTGTTGTTGTTGTTGTTCTTGTTCTTGTTGTTGTTGTTGTTGTTGTTCTTGTTGTTGTTGTTGTTGTTGTTCCTGCTTTTCCTATTGTTCTTGTTGTTCTTGCTGCTGATGCTGCTGCTGCTGCTCTTGCTGTTGCACTTGATCTTGCTCTTGCTCTTGCTCTTGCTCTTGTTGTTACTACTGCTGCTGCTTTTGCTGCAGCTGCTCCTGCTGTGGAATTGGTGGCATAGCAGCAGCTGCAATAGCGTAGTTTGAGCTGCCAAGGCTTATCGCATTGCCAATAGGGGCAAGATTCAGGAATCCCTGAGTTGACTCCTTGCTCGTGTTGTCCTCTCATTCCCATTAATGTAGGAAAATATGCCGTAATATCCTCTGGACCAGATTCAAGCGAGCTAGTAGAATGGTCGGAAGGCCGATTGCCCAATATGGAGTCAATGTTTATTCATAAGTTGATTCAAATATACACTTGTAACGGAATGAAAGAGGAGCCCAAGGAGGGAGTTGTGGGTTCCGATGAAATCCACTTGCTCAGAATACCATGTAGAGAATCACCCAGCACTAGGATTATGTGGAACCCGAGAGAGGTAAAGTCAGTAGAAGAGTTCCAGACCCTTGTTCCGTAAGAATAGTATATTAAACAACGATGATACAATGATTAGTACAGCATGTATGAATACCAAAAGAGGTTCTTATTTGTTCTAAGGAAATCTTTGGGAAACCTCTTTCCATAACCCCGTAACTTCTTGTTGCAACCTCATGCTGTACTGTCCACGCGTTGACTCAGGTGGCTCTTGCCACCCGCTCATGACCTCGATATGAGGTAATGCATGACATCAGGTGTGTGTGTCCTCTATATGAGGTAAGGTTATACTAAGGTAGAAACATACTCAAGAATGCTACTTAGGATTTCTTCAAACAACTTTCAACACAGTCGAGACATCTTACAATCGGCACTGCCATTTTGAAGATGCACATGTGGGCATGATATATAAACCTCTGCTCTTTCCTTCCTCCCCATGGTATCCTTCTAGGAAGAATATTGAAGGAGGGTCTATAACTTAGACTTCCTAAAGTTCATCAACACTGTATCAATAGTACGATACCTCAAATAGAAGGACGCGAAGTAGTGATGTGCTAGTACGCATTAGCAAATCAACGCTTAAATACCAGGTTTGCCCATCACAAGAAGATTCACGCCACCTAAGGATACACAAAGAGGCACTATGCTTTGTCACGTGAATATTCACTTGAATAGGTAGCTTCAGACTACAAATAGGACTGTACTACTCTTTGTTACTATCCTTCTCTAGTACTATTTTAATCTTTACAATGTATAAGTATTTCGCTGACTTTGCTCTACAAGGTTCCACTTATTCTAGATCCAGGACTACCGTATTTGAGGAACATTCACTCTACAAAAAATGCTATGAATGGGCGCTTCGATAGATGGTGTTTTTTTTTTTTTTTTTTTTTTTTGGGTGCAACATCGTCTAAAATGTGTATTGTGAAATTGCAATCACTCGTAGTGAAGCAATGACAATGGAAAAATGCTAAATGATCTCCATTGGGTATATACAGTAACATATGGTTGAGGCCATTTTACCCACATCTTCATTTTATCCCATGGGAGCCCTATGAAAGCAACGAGGAGATAAAAGGTGAGGGGGGGCGAAGTCATAAGGGACAACATGTTCGATTGCTAGTGGAATCTCTCAAGAATGGAGAAGTTGGAGTGAATGAAGTAGGTGCTGAATATTCGGCAGGTTGAGGGGGAGTTTGCTGGTGCGCATAAGTTTTTTCACTTCAACCTGCCGCCTTTTTGCCAAGGATGAAGCAACATGGAATCATTTGGTTGAAGGTGTTGTGGTTAAAAATATTGGGTTATGTGGTTTTATTGCTAGAAGTTGTGGGGTTCATATGTGTGAGGGAGAGCTCAAGAAGAGCTCTAGTGAAGTCCCATGCAAGTCCCACGGAAGTCCCATGGAATTCACGTGGGGGTCACATGAGAGTCACATGTGAGTCACGCTTAAGTCACATGAAAGTCATACGGGAGTCACATGGGAGTCACAGAGGAGTCACATGGGAGTGATACGGGAGTCACAGGGGAGTCACATGGGAGTCACACTGCAGTCACATTGGAGTCCCATGGGGAGCTTATGGAGGTTTTATGAGGGACTTATGAGAGTGGTACAAGAGCATTGTGGGAGCCTTATGGGGGCCCTTTAGGAGTCTAACAAGGTGCATGTTTTTTTCTTTTAAGCAATTACCATCTACACCTTAAGCCTTGTGTTAGGCATGGGTAACTAAGTAAATAGAACGAGATCATAAGGGAATGCATGGGGAGTATATAATAAGGTGCATTGCACATGTTATCATACTGGAGTGCGTATTGCCAGGTGGACTTCGTATCCACATGCTTTTGACACTATTTCACTTGAGGTTCGCAGGTAAAAAAGTGTGGGCACTAGAAGGTGAGATCTGGAGTGAAAGTCGTGCAACTTTCTGATGTAATTTGTACGTGAAATAGGCGGATTTGGCAGGTGCCACTCGTGGGAGAGTGTGGCTGTTGTGATAACGATCTCGTGTTGCAATATCTGAGGCTCTGGAGTGGGGTTCCAGCTAGTGATTGGTTGGCTGTTTGCTTTTGCATTTAGTGGGCTGTTATAATAAATATGCTTGTGTGCAAAAGTCCGAGCCGGTAAACCTAGGAGGGCCATCCAACTTTTGGGCCATGTCAAACCCTAGATCTGGAGCACTTCAAGCCTCTCTAGATCTCTTCCAATGGAGGAAAGAACGTCCTCTAACCGTGGCTCTGATACCACTGATGAAAATCGTGCAAATCTGGAGAGAACTAATTAGAGATTAAGTCTGACGACCTCAACGGATCATTGCGTGCTGCTCAGGTAACTTCTAGAAATGAGCTTATACGCGTTGGAAAGGTCTTAATCTCTACTTTCCAGAATGGTAAAGCACGTTCATAACCAAGATCTGAGCCGCCGATTATGACGAAATCAGTGTGAGGGGGTATTCTGGTAATTTGGCTAGGCAGCCATGAATCACCTAGTAAAAACGAGAAGGGAAGCATTTCGATCTGGAAAAGTTGCAGTATGTGATTGTCAAACACCACCAACCCTTGCCCTAGACCAAACCCCAACACTCTCAAGTGCCATGACTGAGACATCAAAGATGTTGTAGTGGATTTGAGGTTGTATGGGTTGGAAAGGTAACGAGTTCAAACCTTGCCAACCAACCCAAGTCCTTTTGCCCAAAACCCAATAGCCCACAACCAGCTAGAGCAAACTACACCACAGAATACTACACATTTATCATCGATGGCTACCACTGTTGCAACCGCCCCAGCTGTTGCCACACCTGCAGCCTCTCCTGCTGCTGCCTCCGGCACCGCACCACATGCTGCCATGGACCGCGCATAGGCCCGGGCCCTATCCTCTAATGCTGCCCTCTCTACCCCAGCCCCTACCACCTCCCCCTTCACCTCCGCTCCAGCTGCTGCTCATGCCAACCCTACAGCTCCGGTCGCTGGCTCCCCTGCTGAGGACACGGCCCCGAGCCAGGCTGCACTAGGAGAGGGTGCTATAAGCTCGACTACATCCTCATCCGAGTCCTTGGCGCCCTCCAAAACCCAATACGAGTCCTTTGCGTTGTCTCCATCCGAGTCCCCAGCCTCGTCCCACTCAGAGTCCTCACCAGCCCCCAACGTCTCTGCCAATCTTTCACCCCCTCTTTCACCTCCCACACCCCCACCTTTACTGCCACCTCTGCGGGGCCCCCCAGTGCTGCCGCATCCCCATCCCATGCCACAGGCCCTGCTGCGGCCTCACCTGTGCCAGCCTTGCAACCTGTGGCCATGGGTGTGGAGCAGGTGGGGGCTCTCCTGGAGCAAGTGTTGGCTTATGGGAGTGGCGGGGGGGGGGCAGATGACTTTTGCGGCCATGGGAGCGCGAGCGTGTGGCTTCGCGCTCCTGCTTCTCCAGGCGTGAGGTAGGGCCCTCCTCTGCCTTTTCCGTGGTTGTTTCTCGCCTCGTAAGGCAGAGCGCACCTGGTCCCCGCCCTTGCCGACGGTCACCTTGACTCGGGCTGGCAGGGCGATACTGTTGGGTGAGGGGATGGAAGGCGATGAGTAGGGGGAAGGGCAGCTACCGGCTCTGCCTGACCGTCGGAGTGCACCAGGGGCGCCCTCCCCCCCATTGCAGGGGGTGCAGGTCATGTCCACAGGGGCTGCATGCTAATGTCGAGCGCTTTGCGGGGGAGGAAAGGGCATCGTGAAAAACGATGCCGTAGAGAGAGACTATTTTAGGGTTAGGTGGTGTGGCGTGGTTCTAAGCTGTAGAAACTAGAAAGCTAAGGAACGCGCGACGCGGCAGTCTAGGAGAGAGAGAGGGAGGGCGAGAATAGTACTGGGCAGGGTGACCTCCCAGGAAGTCCTCGTGTCGTACCCATTTCTGCCTGCTCCCGTGCTCGGGAGGGGGCAGCGGGAAAAAGAAAGGAGGATTCTTCTCCGAACCGCCCGGGCGGCGATGTCGTGCGGCTGTGGGGAGGGCCGCTCTCCACGTAGGACGCCGCGGAGCGTGACTACAGACGGGCGTGCGGCCCAGCGAGATGGCGAGCCTCTCGCGGGCATGACCGCGGATGTGACTATAAAGGGGGGAGCTGCCTCAGGGAAGGAGTGGGAAGCGCACCGGGGAGAGGATCCACGTGGTACGATCATACCTTGGCCACTACGCCGGATCCCATCAGAATTCCGAAGCTAAATGCCAGTGGGCGAGAATAGTACTGGGCAGGATGACCTCCCGGGAAGTCCTCGTATCCAGGCCCTTAAATATCAGACTTTTTAGGCTGATTTGGGTTTCGGTTCCAATCCATATCTTGGTAGTGGCTAATGCAAATGATACGAAGGCTTATGAGGGACCTGTTGTTCAGGAATAAGTCTAAATGGGCAGTTTGCAAACACTGAAAAATCAAATACAAAAAAAAAACAGCCATTGAAATTAAGCAAACCAGGGCTTTAAGGTTGATTTATTAGGCCCTGCTCGTATCGTACCCATTTCTGCCTGCTCCCGTGCCCGGGAGGGGGCAGTGGGAAAAAGAAAGGAGGATTCTTCCCCGAACCGCCCGGGCGGCGATGTCGTGCGTCTGTGAGGAGGGCCGCTCTCTGCATAGGACGCCCCGGAGCATGACCACAGACGGGCATCTGGCCCAACGAGATGACGAGCCTCTCGCGAGCATGACTTCGGATGTGACTATAAAG